GGGGGAGAATCCTGGCGTGGGTAACGTTGCCAATTTCTCCAGTCTCTGTCCTCCTCTCCCCTTCTCTCTTCCAAAAATGTTTGACTCCAATAATCAGGTAGTTCACTCCGGGGGGGTTGTCTCCCAGGGCCCTGGTGCTGATAGCTTCTCCATTCCCCTTCATCGCCCCTTTGGCTCCAATATTCATGAAACTCACCCGCCTGAGGTTTTCTCACGGCACCTGGCTCCAGCGAAGTTTGTTGAGGTGGTCTTTGGGTGAGTCCAGCATTCCAGCTTGTCTCTATTTCTCTTTGCCCCACTGAAGTTGACCAACGGGGTAGGGGGGAAGGTTCAGGCTGACTGGAAATTTGCAGTTGAAATAAATCTTCGTGCAAAGGCCGGTCAGACGGGCTGGGCTGGTGTAAAGAAAGGTCGGGAGGTCCCAGTTCACTGGAATCCGTCCCTCCAACGGCGCCTTCCTCCTCTCTGGTCGGAGAAGACATTATGTCCCTTCTCGGTAGACGTAAAATCTCCTGGAAAGGGATATTTTGAGATTTTGCTTCTTGTCACGCCCCACTCCATTCCATAATTAGGACCCTCCCACATACACGCCCCCCCCTTCCCGTTTCATGGCAGCTGAAGCAGCAGCAAAGCAGAAGCTGACACAGAGGAAGGATATACATAAACACTAAACACACTCATTCTTCCAAAACTCTACTTTTTCAACTCCCAGGAGACATACTTCATTTCTTACCTACCTTAAATGCTAATTATAACTGACTCTTAATATAAAGATGTTGATTGAGTAAATGAACTTATTTAACTAAGTTACATTAAATAAACCACATTTGGCTGAATTAACTCAGGATAAAAAGCCATAACAATAACCAACAACTCCTGGATGCTGAAAAGAAGCTGCGTTGTGTTTAGTTTATCTTGTAAATTATACCATCCAATAGTACACCTACCTAGACTACTACTACTTCTACTACTATTATTAATCATAATTATTTATTATTATTATTACTATTATTATTCTAGCAGAATCTGACAAGCTCCTTTTACCCGAACACCTAATGCAGGGCACCTGAGCATTTTGAGCTTCGCGGGGTTGTGCATACCTGACCCGCGTTCCTGCTTCATTCAGGCAAACCCAGGAATTAACGGTTAACCGGGGGGGAAAAACGCCCCATTATTTTTTCCTTTGAACCCCAGGAAAGGCCCATTGGGCTAAAGCCAGTTGCTAGAGATAAATGACCCAGGCCACCCACGATCTCCTAACTAAGCACGCGCATAGCTTTGCCATTCGCTGCCCAGGCTAAATTTGTGTCCTTGCGTTTTGCACTTTTTTGTTTTTAGGGGTGGGAGCAAAAAAACGAAAACAAAACTGGGTTAGGAGAGATTCAGTAGTTCAAGCAACCAGGTTCCGGCTGCGCTCCAAACATCGCCGGCGAAACATCCTTCTTTCCCTCCGCCCCCCCCCCCTCCGCCACATTTCCCTCCCACGTTGCAACGGCAGCAGCTGGGCCATCACGTGACTCCCTCCGGTTTCTCCTCCCCCCCCCCAACCTCCCAAACAAGCCCGCCTACCTACTTCTCCCCGCCCCTTTTTCCTCCCGCTCCGCTCGCCAGGCTCCCGGCGCGCGCAGAGAGCCCGCGGCGCCTGCGTGGTCCCGCCCTCCTCCTCCCCGCCTCCTCTTCTTTCTCCCCTCCCTCCCCTCCGCCGCCGTCCTCGCTTCGTTCCTTTCTCTCTGGCTCCCCGCCGGCTCTTCCATTTTACAGCCCCCCCCTCCCTCCCCCACCTTAAATCTGCCCGCGGCCTATAAAAGGAGCGGCCGGCAGGGTTTTTTTCCCTCAGTCCGCTGCGGAGGCGCGAGCGGTGGGTTTCTCTGTGCCTGTCTCCCTCCCGGCAGGGCGCGCGTGCCGCCGAGACAGCCCGTCAGCAGCGGGGAGGTGCGACGGAGAGGGAGGAGACGACGACAGCGCCGAAGACGACGCCTTGCTCCGCGGGGGCCTTCTCCGGGTCGCCTTCTTGCGGCGCTCCTTCCCTCATACCTTCCCACAGCCGCTCCTCAAAAGGTCTCAGCTTGTCAGGCCCGGCCGCCGGGCTGCGTCGGGGCCGCCTTCGAGGCCTTCCCACTCCCACCCCCCCACTTCAGCCTGCTGGGCCGACGGCCACCCACCCCCCCTCAACGCCGACGCCATGAGCTCCGGCACGCCGTATATCGGGAGCAAGATAAGCCTCATCTCCAAAGCGCAGATCCGCTACGAGGGCATCCTCTACACCATCGACACCGACAACTCCACCGTCGCCCTCGCCAAGGGTAGGGCCGGAGCGGGGAAAGTGTGGGAGGGGGGGGGCGCCTGAGGGGAAATAAAGCCCGACGAATCGGGGACGCATTTGCCTCAGCCTCTTGCCTTTCCCACACCACTGAAGTGGTGGTGCGGGGGGGGGGGCGCTGCCTGCGTCCGGTTGCTCCCGAGGGGCTTGGATGGGAGGTGAGGGAGCCGATGGCGCAGGACGACGGGATTTGGCTTCGCTTCCCTCGCGCGGCTCTTTCTTCTCCCCCCCCCCTTTTGCCTCGGGGGGGAGGGACACGCGAGCGCGGCTGGTGGTGGTGGTGGTGGTTGTTGGGGCTCTGAGGCGGGAGGGCCGCAGCTGGGTTGTGGGGGGTGGGGAGGAAAGGAGGAGAGCGTGGAGCCGCCAGCAGGCTCTGGGCTCCCCGGTCCGCATCCCTTTAAAGGGGCACGCGCGCCGCAGAGCTGCAAAGGGGGAGAGGAGGAGGCGCAGTTTGCAAAGGAGGGGAAGCACCTGGTGAGGGGGGGGGGGACGGGAGCCGGGGCTAATGGTGGGGAGGGGGAAGCTCAGAGTGAGGAGGGGGAACCATTCCCCCGGGGCTCTTTTTTTTTTTTTTTTGGCCTTCCACAGCTGGACGGAGAGACATAAAGGAGACATTACACGTTGGTGCTGGAAAAGGAGATGGTAGTTTGAATGCCTGGGTGGGTGAAGCGGGGGCTGGTCTGGCCCAAATAGCAACTTGTTTATTTAGTCTGTCACTCCTGTACAATATAACAGGAATAAGAAGAAACATGAATAAGAACACAGGAAATAGATACAAATAAATGGGGACCGTAGGACAGGGACCCTAGGCACTCTGGTGTGCTTAAGCACGCCCCTTACAGACCTTTTAGGAATGGGGTGAGGTCAACAGACAGTTTAAGGTTAAAGTTATCAGGGTTTGGGGAAGAAACGACAGAGTCAGAGGTACTGCATTTCAGGCGTTGACCACTGTTGCTGGAGACGTATTTTCTGCAATGGAGTTTGGTGCGGTTTACCTTGAGTTTGTATCTATTGTGTGCTGGTGTTTCCTTCTAAGGCTGATTTGTGTGTGTGAGAGAGACAGACAGACAGACAGACAGACAGACACTGACTGATTGATTATGGGAAACTCCCATCACCACCACCTTGCTACTGCTTCTTGAGCTCGGTTTCAGAAGTTTCCCATGGTCAGGAAAGAGGTTGAGAGAGATGCCGCAGTTCCTTGTGGGGCTCCCCCCCTTCTTTTACCCTACTCTGGGTTCTGAGGAGTGGGGGATGAATTGCTGCAATCTGCTGAACTTCCAGTGATTCCCTGGCCTCTTTGTGGCCAACGGATTTTTGGGTGGGATCTGTGAAGAGAAGTGTAGTAAAAGCTGCTGGTGACTTCCAAGGGCCGGTCATGTTTTTTTAGCCTTTGGGTAATATATGGATCTGGTTCTGAATGGTTTAGATTTCGGTCTGTAATACAAGTGTTATTTATTTATTTATTAAATAGATTTATAGGCCGCCCAATCCCGGAGGACTCCGGACGGCTTACAAAGCAAAAAGAAAAGTAATTAATAAAAAAATAAATAAAGGAAAACAATTTAAAACATCACCCATACACCCAATCTGATTGTGGCTGGACCTCAGCAGTGAGGTCAACAGCCCCAGTATAATAATGTGTGTTGCTTCATTTGGCTGTAATTTTGTGAACAATGGGCAAGCAAGTTGTGTGAGTAATTCTTTAACTTTGCTATTTCCAAGCCTCATAGTATATTGGATCCTCACATTGTTTGAGTTCAGTAAAAGCAATTGTAGTGTTTGAAACATTTCCATTCTATGTGTCTGCGTAGAAGGTTTCTATTTGCACAAGAAAAAAGTATGGATGTTCCACACTAAATGGCTATAATACTGTTTATGTTGGGCAGTTTCAATGTTGGGCAGTTTCAGAATTGTCCCCAGAAAGCATATGTGGCAAAATACTCACACTCTTATGTGGACTGGTTGTTTATAAAGACAAAATATAACTGATACTGCTTGTTTTACGCCACTGAGAAATTAAGGTATAAAATGCTTTAGGGAAAGATGTATTTTGTAAGATTACACTGGAGGGTGGGGGGGAAGTCACTCAGCATTCAAGTCATGTGGAAATTTATTGCACAGTAGTATTTTTCTAAAGAATCATTCTGTATATGAAATTTTGGGATTAAATAGAAATAATTTTCCCCATCCTCTTTAAAAAAAGAGCTCTCAGAAAGAGTAAAAATGTCATTAACTGAAATCAAGGAGTCGAGTTGTAGTTTGTGCAAGAGTTTCACCCTGCTAAAATGTTTTAATGTATTTTAGGAATATATTATATAAAATGCATTTTATTTTGGAAAACAAGGCTACCAGCCCGTTCCATTGTTAATAGCATAACTGCACTCTTCCCAAAGTAGTAATTGACCATTTATCTATTTGCTCTGTTTATGGAACTCATGAAGTTAGCTAAAGAGCAATGAATATTCTGTTTTATACAGCTCTCTCCCCTCCCACTTGAGAGAAAATCAAGATAACTGTGAAAAAGCTTTGAACAATGATGTAATAAATCTATAAATTAAAATTCAGTTTTTCCATATTATTATTGCCCAGTGAAATATGCAAAGCTAGAGTTGAAATGACACTTTTCCTGTGTACCGCTTGAAGAGTCCAAGCGACAGATTAAATCAGTCTGGTTGGCCTGGGACCGAGGAATCTTTTTCCTTGGCCACCCCTCCTGGTGTTACTGGGCGCCAGAATTTTTTCTCAGTCTGCCCGTTCAGGACTTATATTTGTGAGCTCCAGCGTAATTTATTTAGGCTTGAACTCTCCTTCTAGTATTTCCTTTCTTTTTTTCCTTAATTTGTTTTTCCTATAATTAACAGTTCATTTGTCTCCCCTTTTTGCTTCATGTCGTTTGATTTCTCCTAGAGATTCGGAGGTAGGCGTGGTGGTGGGTGGTCCGCTTGCTGCTCCACCTTTGGACGGCAGTAGAGAGTTGCCGCTTTTGCTTTAAAGCGCGGGAGGAGCGGTGAGGCTTCTGGCGGCTGCTGGCGTTTCCCTTTTTAGTTGGAATTGTTTTTTGTTTTTTTTGCGATTTTCTTGCCCTTCGGAGGGTGTAGCCTGCCACAGAGGGGTGCACGGCCACTCTAAATCACGCAGCCGCCATCTTCACCTCCTCCTCCCTCGCACTGGAGCAGCGGCCAATTGGTAGGGCCTGAATTCACGCCTTTTCTCCCATTAGTGTTCCCACTCAGCCACGCTTCTGCAGATAGCCGCATGGTGGCTGGCCTTGATCAGGTCTCCGGCTGGGTCACTTCCACCCACAGCGTTTCCCCAAGTGGCGCTGGCATCTTGGCCACCTGGTGGTCATACACCGGCACAGGGAGGATTTTTGTGTAAATTTTTTGCCTTCTATCCACTGATTCTCCCTGATCTATCTGCCTGGTCTTGCAGCCTCAGCTGCTTTTCCACCTTCTCACCTCCCGTCGAGTGGCTGGATTCCTTGGACTCATTGCAGAGCCCCAGTTTTACTCCTCTGGATTTTTTCCCACAAACTGTTCCTGCTTCCACAATATCTGCGTGTCTTCTAATCCAGCACCAGCCACCAGAGACTCCTTCATCTTTGTGCCATCAGGCAATGGAGCATCCTGGCCCATCTGACTCCCCCGACAGTAGACCAGGTCCCTCTCAAGCCCCTAGCAAGGGAATTTCTGCAGGCACGGGCAAGGGGGTAAGGAAGGGCAGGGTGGCCAGTCAGGATAGCCATCCCTATAAGGCACCTTCCGCAGTGGTGACTAGGGATGCAGAGAAGCGGCAGCGGGCCCTCGACAAACAATTCAAGAAGGCCCAACGCCAAGCTGTGAGGGCATGCCCTCGGCCTAACCCTCCTGTTGGGGCAGTCATTCCACCACTTCCAAGGGGGGATCGTCTGTCCATGATGAGGAAGTGGACTCCCAGGACCTCTCCCCGGATAGGTCTCTGGCTGAACTGGGCTCTCCTGCTTTTTCGTGTGTTCCTCAGTCAAGGCCCACCCCTGAGGACCCTAACCTCCGGGGGCTCGATCCCATCCTTGCCCAGGATGTTCTTCCTCCTTCCAAGGACCCCGTTGCTTTGGACTCTGCCATAGCTCAGGAACCTGAGTTATCTGCTCACATGCGGATGATGGTCGCCCGTGCCATCTCTCAGGGAATTGCCCAGGGGATGCAGAGACGTGACCAAGCACCCATCGCTCCCAGCTCCTCTCAGCCCAGGCAGGAGGCTCCCTCCACCCCCAGGCGGGTCCGTCACCCATCTCTGGAGTCCTTGACACTAAGCGAGTCTTCCATTTTGGAGGACCCAGATCAGGAGGAGCAGGAGCTCTCGGAGGATGAGGACCTTCCTCCGGATTCTCCTGCCTTCTCGGGGCTCTTTAAGCCTAGCCTATTTAAGTCCATCTTGCACAAGGCTAAGAACACCACCCAGGTGGGTACCAAACCTAAGACTGTGCAGGGATCCACGGATTCCGCTCCAGTTAACCCCAATGCTAGCATGTTTAACATTCAGGCACCTCAGCAAGAGCTGGTGCCAGTCCCAGATCTCTTTATGGATGTCATTCAACAGCAATGGGCTCAGCCTGGCTCCCTGTCCACGTCCAGTGGCAGGGACAAGAAGCTGTACTCAGTTGACCCCCGTGCTGGAAAACATCCTGGTCCTACCATCTGTAGACCCCCCTATAGTGGCTCTCACTTCTAATTCAGTCCTTCCAGCTGTCTTGTTGGAAGGCCTCAAGGCAGAGGACACAAAAGCGTAGAAGGCCTGCCACAAGACTCATCAGGCAGCGGCCTGGGCCATTAAGGCTTTGTCATCCGCGTCCTTCTTTAACAGAGCCCCTGTCATTTGGCTGCATGAGCTTCAGGCTAAACTACCGGCAGGAGACACTCGTCTTCACCAGGACATAACAAAAATTATTGCAGCATCCCAGTATTCGGCTGATGCCTCCCTTAATGCGGCCAAATTCGCCTC